ATGTTTCCGCAACAGCCATACCTGGGCGAACGTCCTTGGATATATCACGTTTTTTATACCATTCACGCGCCTTTTGTACACGGTTTTTAAGCCATTTCATCATACTTTTGTAAACAACTTTGAATTCATTTACGTTAGGATCAATAAGCCTTTTCTTTGTTATGCCAGATTTCACAGCTAAAAAGAAAACAAGTTTCACTTAGGACACCGGAGAGAGAAAGAGAGGGAATAGTACACAACAATTTATTTTTCGCGACCTCCCCCCCCCCTCGTCGCCAAAAAATTTCGGTCAGTGTACCATTTTAGGGGTCCAAAATTTTTTCCGGACATCCCAATGTCATTGTGATCAGAAATATGAGATAGCATTTCCGCATTCTCAAAATTGCGTTGCTTTTTCATACGATACAGAATAAGTCTGACTAGAATATTCATGCGGTTGCAAAAACCTATCATGTGTGATTTTGGGTTTTTTTAGTATTGTGTGCGCGCATGGAGGTTTCAAGTTCGATTTTGAAATTTTCATATGCAATGTGGAGCGGTATGTTGGCCATTTTTACGAAATGAAGTATCTGCATCTGGCCTTTGCAGATACATTTCTGTTGTGCCAAGAAGTGAGTTATACATGTCCAATTAACATAATTAAAATCTATTTATATTTATTTGATGTATTTTTTCATATTTTTTTCAGCTACAACAAGAAGATTTGCCCGAGCTCCAGGACACAGCGAGGTTGGGCATGGATGGGCTCTATAGCCTTTTTTATCCTGGAGAAAAATTTCCCGGTAGGTTAGACAGGAGGATTTGCTGTGAAGCAAAGTCGGCGATATAGTAATTGTTAGTTTAGTGAAAAAACTGTTTTACTCACATTATTTCATAAATTTTATGTTTTTTAATTTTATGTATCGTCACAGAGCTATGGGAGACGTAAATGCCATGTTAAAAATTTTGGGTGATAAACTGTGGGAACATTTACCACAATTACGGATCCTAACTTACAAATCGTTGTAAGTATTTGTATGTTGTTGTTATTTGTAAGTAATTGTTTTGGTTCCCGCAGAAATAGTAAAATATATCTGGCAAATGCTACGCGCATGGTTTCATTAGTTAATGCATGTTCTGAGATTTTAGAAAACCCGTACATGTTTACAAAAAACATATTAATTATGGCTGTTTTATATAAAACATTTTTTCCGTATTGATATATAGTTATATCAACACTCGTGGAAGTTGGGAAAACTCAAAATTGTATGAAAACACTCCGCCTTTCGGGCGTCGTGTTTCCATACAATTTCTCGTTTTCCCAATTCCACTCGTGTTGATATAGCTGTATATCAACACGAAAAATGTTTTATATTTGTTAAATATAACATGAAGTTTCCTGAACAAAATGGCGGAAATTTTAATAAAAAATGTTGATGTTTGATCGTACAATACAAAAAAACTGCGGGTCTGTGCGAGTGACAACAAGTGAATTCGTACTCAGTGTATCAAAAACTATAGATTTATGTAAACTAAAAGTAGGTCCCGAATGGGGGCAGCGGAAGTGAACGATAATTGGCCACAGAATACGGTCTACCATAAAAAATAAATAAATAAAATAATTTTCTGATTTTATACTGTAAAACATTTTTGTTTTATGCAACATCAATCTCATACCCAAAGCATGGAAGGCAAGAGACTGAAAATTGACTTTTAAACGACTGGAAATTAAAGATTGAACAGCTAGAGCCGATTTCGGACCCGTTTGTTTTCCAGTTGATTTTATATTTGGAGCAATGGGAGTAGGTTAGCGTTGCGCATGATTTCCATATTTAGCCCACAAGACAAGACAAGACAAGACAAAAACTTTATTGACCCATTTTTACAACAATAAAAGACATTAAATAAATAAACATTTTACAATTTATTATAGGGTCCTGGCAATCCTGAAATAACCTGGGATAGCTAAAAATACCAGGATGCCAGTTTACTTTTTAATACCGTAATAAAATTATAATAAGTGAGTCGGTAAAAATGGCAACAAAGACACACAACACACAATCATTCTTAGATGCATTTGCAACTGGTAACAGACTCCTTAGTAAATTATATCATTCTGGGGCCGGTTGTATAAAAAAGTGATTAAAGTTAACTATAGTTAGTGGAAACGTCATCCAATAAGAAGCACGTATTTGAGAGTTAATCACTATTTAACTACAAAATAGTGATTAAAAAAGTGATTAAGAGTTTTATACAACCGGCCCCAGGTTAGTATGTCTGAAAATAATCATTTTTGAATTGATTTTTGAATTTGGAAAGGGAAGCATACCTAATTTCTTTAGGTATAGAATTCCATATAGTTGGACCTTGATATCTAATATTAAATAATCCATAATTGGTTCGAACTTTTGGAATATAATAAGATTCACTCGTGGAAGATCTAGTCGTGGAAGATCTAGTCGTGGAACACAGAGTTGCAAAAAAAGATTGCCTCGGGAAGCTCTTGAAAGGTGAACTAGCCAGTGGCTGCTTGAATAACTCTTTATTTAATATTTCACAGGGAATTGGATCATACAAATAATTCCATCTAGGACGGAAGCATATAGTTGAAAAGCTGGCTTCCTTCCGAACAGGGGAATGGCTACATTATGGTGAGTTTTTTGTGGCTAACCACTATGTTATACTGAAACATGTCAATCCACCCTTTTCGAGGTTGACCTGCGGTAACATGTGTAGTGCGATGCTAATTTTTCGGACAAACAAACGACATTCAGCTTTTCTTGTATTAAAATACTGTAATAAATATTACTTTAATGGTTAAACGATATGCTTGTGCTCCAAAGTACTATCCATGTTTATATTATAATAATCTTACTTAATAATCTTACGTGTTGTTTGTTTGTCCGAGAAATTAGCACGTGTTACCCACGCAGGTCAACCCTGATAAACTGTGGGAACATTTACCAAAATTACGGATCCTAACTTACAAATCGTTGTAAGTATTTGTATGTTGTTGTTATTTGTAAGTAATTGTTTTGGTTGCGGCAGAAATAGTAAAATATATCTGGCAAATGCTACTCGCATGGTTTCATTAGTTAATGCATGTTCTGAGATTTTAGAAAACCCGTACATGTTTACAAAAAAACATATTAATTATGGCTGTTTTGTGAATAGCTGCAAGGGACGTCAGAGCCTACACAGTTGGAAAGAGAGTCGACGTCAACGTGTCTCCGTCCGGAGTTCCCCTGTAGCAAGTAAAGTGCTTGTTTATTACTGAAAGTGCCTCTAATAAACCGTGTGCGATGCTAATTTTTCGGACAAACAAACGACATTCAGCTTTTCGGTCATGTTGTATTATAATACTGTAATAAATATTACTTTAATGGGATATCTTTTTGGGATGCCCCATTTGAGAACTTTTAAACCAGCCAATCCAATTGCAACCTGTCAAACTTGATGATTTCGGAAGGATCATTTTGGAATCGTATCAGCCAGTTCGCATGTCTGAACTAAAAGCTTTTCGATCCAAATTTGTGTTCATGATGAGTTTGAACACCCTGCCCAGATGGCAGGGCTCGAAACTTGAAATTTTTGTTAGTATCCAAGTGGATACCAGCACCATAGAATCTAGTATCCATTCTTGAAATATATTATCCCAGATTTGGATAGTAGATATTCAATTTCCAGTATTCAACGACTGGAAATAGAATATCTAGTATCCAAATCTGGGATACTATATTTCAATGCAACCACGTCTTCAGTTGCTAAGCAAAAACCAGGCCTTTAGTTTGAATAATAAAAATATGTATTGAAATTCGAAAAATTGAAAATAACGCACTGCACCGTTTATCAAATGTTTTTTTTAATATTCTGCCAAAATCTGTAGACATTGAAGTTCGGAAACATGCCAAACATCTAGATGATTATCTACCATCGCAATTTCTAAATTTTCCTAGTATCCAGTTGGGATACTGAGCTTATGATACCCAGTATCCAAAATTAAAATCTGATATCCTGTGGATATCGGGATACTGCAAGTTTCGAGCCCTGGATGGACCTCGACACAATAGACCCCTTCAAGGTTATTTCCGCCATATTGCCGGGGTTGCAAACACTGGGGCCTAGCGTGCCGTCCCCATTGTAATCGTACAAATCGCGGCGAAAAATCAATTTCAACTTTTGCCATTTTTCATCTCAAACGAATGGGAATTGCTCAATTTAACGATTTCTGATGACTCACCCTGTTATTTCTGATACATGGACGGGATTTCATTCAAATCAGTTGCCTGTAAGTGTGAGAATTCAACGTATATTCTCAGTGGTGTTTCACCGTTTAGTGCTTGTTGCGCGCCGCAGGGGAAGTGCCTCGGGGAAGTGCCTCGCATGGGACATCTAGTCCCGTTCGCACTTCTGCCGTTTGGACAATATCCAATAAAGTTGTTAAACTAAAACAACATGGAAGACATGAATTGGCATTACTGTAGTACAAAACATTACGACCATGGAAAACCTTCGCTCGACCACGCACGAGATCTTGATCATCACCACTGCCCAATTCATAAAATTTATGAATAAGCCGACAACTATGAACTGTTGTTGAAAACAAACCAACAACAGTTATTAATAGGTGGAGAGAACCGAACACACGTCCGACCGCCATGATTGTGCATACGGCTGCCAAGATCACTCGGAAAACGAGCTATTTTGTCACATTAAGATACCGAAATGTACTAGAATATAGAACTTTTACGGACATGTCAAATACCTCCGACAATAACGTTGATTTGAATGAAATCCTGTGAATAGCCAACATGTTATTTTATCTTGTTAAATTTATCTTGTTTATCTTTTAAAAGTAATTTTATCTTGTTCTGAAGATGTCGCGCGTTGCGACGAAACGTAAATAAATTCTCCTTTCGTTTATTTTGTTTAATGGTCATTCACAAGCTGGGCGTTAACATTGTTTATTTGTATTAAAAACAGAAATACTGTAACACTTTGACTGCATTTTCCCTTCACAGATGAATGATTCCATGGCCTCTCTTAGAATGTGAGTATGAAAATTAAATGGAAAAAGGTCCCAACAGACGCTTCGTGATCCAGGGTGATTTTGATCACTCAGTGAATTTTTATTTTTAGTGATGAGCATGAAGTCGCGCGTTGCGACGAAAACGTTGTGGGTGGAGATGAGTTTGGAGGTAGGGATGTTGGCCCGAATGTTAATAATACAGATTGAGCGTTCATTTGATAGAATTGGTCATTAGGTTTACATATTTCTGGTGACTTTTTTTGCAAATTTAGCCTTACGCACGCCAAATTAACGTCTTTAACCAATTTACATGTGTGCAAATTAGGCAAATAGTTTAGCGTGCGTTTGGCGAAATTTACGAAAAAAAGGTTGGGGCGAAGATCCACAGAAAACGTGCGGAGAAAAATGTCCCTGTTTGGTGTGGTGTGTATATTTTCCTTTGCAAACTGAAAGGGATATTCGCAAGGATATCCGCCGTTTTGGCGTAATGTCACTGAAACCTTTGCCATTTTGCTGCTGAATTATGAATCCCGATTAAATAATGTAAATGTGCACAACAGGTCAACAATCTTGAGAGGTCAAACCATCTGCAAGACTGTCAGCACGTTGTTCTATGTTTTTGTTCACGTTTTTCATTTATTCAAGTCATTCACGGCATTCATCCAATAGCAACGACTGGGTTGAATTACTCAGTCGCTTTACCGTCACGTGGTGGGTCGCTTTATCGTGACGTGTCCATAGAATTTACTTCCGTATAGGGCATGTCATTGTCTTTCAACATGAAGTTAATTTTTGCTGTGAGACAATGGAGTTGCCTATCCTTCTCTTCTATTATCTATGGTCAGCATAAAAGCTCAATGTTAGAAGTGTGAATTTTTTTGTCTAAAGAAAACAACAGTTTTATCGAAGCAGATAGATATTTCGACAGCTTCAAGACACGTACTGTACATGTTCAAGTCTCGTTATTTTTTAGGCCCCAGATCGTGGGATGGAGACGGAGATGCAGATCGAGATCCATCCGGAGATGAGGGTGATGAAGATCAGGATCAGGAGGAAGGTGGAGGAATGTGGATGAGGAGGAACACTTTTTTTTTGCAGTTATTTAAAAACGCCTTGGGCCGTGACCAAGTTCGTGCGGAACACCAAGGAGGCTGTGGAAAATTCAAATCAAAAAAGCCTCAAGAATTGTCGTGGCGAGGAATCATTCACTTATGGTACAAAGAAAAGGGGACTATGGTGTGCAAATGCGACGAAAAGAAACCAAAGGGAACGGACTGGGCTATGATAAAGCATATAGAGAGAACACACACTGATTGGGCATATAGAGAGAACACAACAGGGACTGGGACACCGTTTGTGTTCGTGAAACGCTGATGTACGTACGTACACGAAATTAACGTCTCGATAGTCAAAAATAGGGCTATTTTGAGAGCACTATTTATCGTAGTGCAGGTGCTTTTCTGATAATTTAATTTGAATTAATAGATACAATGGTCTAATAGCTTCAACTTACAAAACACTTTTTGTCCATATCTAAAGTTGCTAAGGAGCCACACCCTTTTCCCCACCCAACCCTTTTGACGACCATTAGACCATTGTATCTATTAATTCAAATTAAATTATCAGAAAAGCAAGTTTTAAGGTCGTCAAAAGGGTTGGGTGGGGAAAAGGGTGTGGCTCCTTAGCAACTTTAGATATGGACAAAAAGTGTTTTGTAAGTTGAAGCTATTAGACCATTGTATCTATTAATTCAAATTAAATTATCAGAAAAGCAAGATTTAAAGTTGTCAAACTGTTGGTCACGCCAACAGTGATTTCTCCTAAACGAAAAGTGCTAGGGGTCTGAAATTTTCTAAGTGATATATGTAATACAAAAGCTGTGCAATGACCTATTATTTTCCAGATATTCTAATGCTTTCATATATTTTGGCCTTTCTCAAAATTGGTAAGAAAAATTCTCCAACATGTTGTCTAAAGGCTCTAAATATTGTTTGGGTTAGTCAAACAGGAAAATAATAGGTCATTGCACAGCTAATACTTGTATGAATTCACATACTTCAGTCAGACTTGAACCGTATGAGTGAGTGGACAAATTTGTGGCAATTGAGCTTCAATCTTGATAAGTGCGAAGTTATGCGGATAACTCATCATAAAGATAAATCAATACCCGAATACTACTTGTCTGACAAGAAACTACAGGTGGTGAACGAATTTAAAGATCTAGGCGTAATTGTATCTAGTGATCTATCATGGAGTAATCAGGTTGCCTCGATCTATGGATTTCTATTGACCCATTTCTGATTTCAAAAACATTGACCCATTTCTGATTTCAAAAAAAGATTGCCTCGGGAAGCTCTTGAAAGGTGAACTAGCCAGTGGCTGCTTGAATTAACTCTTTATTTAATATTTCACAGGGAATTGGATCATACAAATAATTCCATCTAGGACGGAAGCATATAGTTGAAAAGCTGGCTTCCTTCCGAACTGGGGAATGGCTACATATATGATGGTGAGTTTTTTGTGGCTAACCACTATGTTATACTGAAACAAGGATGTCAATCCACCCTTTTCGAGGTTGACCTGCGGGGGGGCGGGGGGGTAAAACGTGTAGTGCGATGCTAATTTTTCGGACAAACAAACTACATTCAGCTTTTCTTGTATTATAATACTGTAATAAATATTACTTTAATGGTTAAACGATATGCTTGTGCTCCAAAGTACTATCCAAGTACTATCCTGTTCAAACGAGATATTCTATACACTGGAAACGTAAAGTACACTTTACTTTGTCTTTGTCTCAAGCAAAAAAAGTATAAAGATTAAACAGGCATTCAAAAATATACAACAACCACGAACATCTCGTAATATAATATTTCTTCGGGGAAATCAACGCAATTTTCCGCCTGACCAACTGGTCTTTTCATTTTTTGATTAAGTGTGTTTTTTATGGCAACAATTAATGATAAAAATGATGAGACGTTCTCTGGCTAAATATATATTTATTAAATTTTGTATATAAAATTTCCAATACCAGTGTTTTTGGTTTAAAATGTCTAGTTTATTCTAAGTTTATATTGTTGAGGTTTACTGTTATAAATGAGTGCAAAGTAGCTACAAGTCAAAATTAAGCAAAAATTGTATCTATATTTAACTAACCCTAACCAAATTACAACAATGGGGAAATCGGTTTCAAATGTCTTTTCTTTCCCTCACTAAAGATACTTTAGATAAAAAGTACATAAACAGTTCTATTTTGCGGCAAAGTACCTCTCTAGCGTGTTTTGGTGTGATCTCTCGTTCATTTAGTTCAATTCTCACTTTATCTGTCAGCAATAAAAAGTGAGTTCGGCAAACTCTGCTAGGTTCTCGGCAGTTCTGACTTCTGAGGGCTTCGGGTATAGACGTGATCACATTTTGATGTAGAAAATTAGTTACTGTATGCTATAATATGTATCTTGAATATCATTACGGAAGAATATTGAAAATTAAGCAGGTATAGGAATATTAATTGTTATAAAAAAACATTGGGCCATCTGTTGTCTGTCCGCTTAAAAGGGGTTGATTTGTTCATTGGGACCTCCACTGAGGTGTCAACTTCCGCTAAAGAGGGGTGTCCACCTAATAAAGGTTACATTATAAGAGTACACGAGAGTAACTGGCTTAAGCCAATGGTCACAAATGATATTTTGCTAAGCACGTACCTCTCGTGTGCCTCGGCCTTTGTGGTATAATGGTATTGTGTCAATTTAATGAAATTCTGTGTTTCCTTTTGAATGTAAGGATATGCAAAAGTACATAAAAGGAGATCTGATATGGGCGAAAATGACAGGCCATCCTCACTGGCCAGCCAAGGTAGGTAGTATACAATATTATACAATATTGGGTAGGTAGTATACAATATTATACAATATTGGGTAGGTAGTATACAATATATTGGGCAAGGTTGGTCGAGCAAAATAAAATCAACCATTTGCCAAGGCCAAAGTCAGAGTCATCCAACTGCGACGTCATAATTAGGAAGCGCTTTCCTTCGTCGAACGCAATTTGAGACAAGACTGTATAGTAACGGCATTGTTAAGGAGTGAATTTCTTAAAAAATAGTTCAAATTAAGCGAGTTCGAGTGGGATTCTACTGTATAGCCATTACAAGCTCTTTGAGATGAAATTGAAAGTGAATTCTTTACTCTTTTTAAACTAGATCACTGGTCCTGGAACAGGAAACACTTATATGGTTCATTTTTTTGGAACCAATGAAACGTATGTAATCCTTTTCTTCTTGAAAGAATCATGTTTGCATTACTGGCCGATCGGACATAACTTGACATAAATATTCTAAGCAATATACGCTCTTCGATTTTTCATTTTTAGTGCAAAGTTTCTTCGCCCTATTGTGAGGGGTCCGATTCAACCGAGTCAGTCGGTCGGTCAGTCAGTCTAATATGCATTTTTTTAACACTGGTGAATTTAATACAGTGTCGTAACCTCAAAACTATATCTTCGGCGACAAACAAAGGCTTCTGAACATTTTGTTAAGTCTACCCTTTGGCAGTTAGTGTTTATTTGTAGTATAACGTTAAAAATACAAGACTGGGTCAGTTTGTAAAAGTTAGCGTTGACAGATGTAAAATTAAAATAACAAAAAATGAAAATATTCCATATTCATTGCATTTTCCGTTCAATTTCTTTATGCATCATATTACAGTAGCTATGCAACTAACACATTTCTGCTAAGCACGGTTTGCAAACCATTCATATGAAATATAGTTAACCATGTTTTTCTCCGTGATTTGAAACCCATCCTTGAACCACTGTGCAAAGGAAACCTTGCACTTATCCTTGGGATCGCTAGTTTACTTTAGAAGCAAAATACAAGCAATTCTTTACTTTATTTTTCTTTTATTTTTGAACAGTGCGAAAATGCATCCTAAACACTTTGCACCTTACCAGTCTGCATCGGATTTCCCAAGTAAGAAGAGAAAAGGGTTTGAGAAGGCCCTGAAAGAAATTGAAATGGATAGGTATATATTGATTTCCTGTTTGTTTTTGGACCAGGAACCGGTCCCCAAACGCTGCTTCACACTGGTTTTATTGCTAGTTCAAAAGAATAGCTTCAACTGACATAACTTCAACTGAAAAATCTCAATGGTTTTTATAAAAAGACTATATGATAACCGGTTATACGGTAATAATGTGTCACCGGTAGTGTGTCACAGTGTTGTGTATTGAATGTCTGGACTTTCAGACGCAGATTAGGACGACCCAAGCAAATCAGCTTCAAATCAAAAAGGCTTCAAATTCTTTCGTGACATCAACTTTTTTCAGGAAAGAATATGAGGAAAGAAGGAAAACTGAGGAAGTAGAAAACTCTCCTGAGAAACTCAAACAGGTACATTTTCCTATATGCATACCTTGAACTTTTTTTATATTCATGGTGAAGAGCACGATTGCAAGGGAAACTATTCGTCTTGTCCTGAACGGTCGGTGTATCGGGAACAGGCTCCCAGCCTCGCACTTGGTATTACCAAGGCCGGCCAGAGGGCAGAATGGCCAAGAGAGCTCGTGAGAGTAGTATAGGAAGTAGCGGTTCTAGACCACTTTTTCAGCCCGCAATCCCACCCCACTTCCGGTCAGCGGTTTCCCAAATTCTCCCCAAAGAACGCGGGCTCATTTTTCTAGACCATTTTTTCTAGGCTATTTTTTCCGTGGTCTTTTTACCTCATTTTTTTTATCTATTATTTATCAGAATTATTTAACAATTTATTTTTCTATTGAGTGGTGTCCGTACGCGTAACTTGTAACACCATCTTCAAGTAAGTACCGTTTATCATCGAAACAGCTGAGTGTGATTTTCTTCAGTTCGTAAGTTCCGATTTTATGTTTGATGCTTCTGATTGTGTTCATCTTATGTCTCATCAAACCTTTTGTCTTGATTACGTTCTTAAAGTTTTCATGAGTGAGTTTGTTTCTGATCACATACTTTTTCACTCCTTTCGCGGTCATTCCGCCTCCACCACTTTCCTTCACGTAGGAGTACATCTTCGACCTTAACCCAACGAATTCAATCACTGGTACTCCCGCAGCTTCATCCTTAAACTTACCAATTACCTTCTTATTATGAGCTGAGTAGTATGGGGAATCTTTCGGATAGTCTGAGTTGTCCCAGCAGTCTTTCTCCTCACCGATCCTCCTGAAGTCCTCATACACATCGTCAGTCTTTATTTCATACATCAGACTGTCAGTATCTGTGAACAGTAGCTTTGACCTGTCACCGTACTCCTTCTTAATTGTATTGTAATGGAAGTCGTACATAAGAGTCTTTGATAAGTCCAAGATGATCATTCCAACGTAGCACGGTTTGTTTAGAGTTAGAACTTCCTTCGTTCGCTTTACAACTATTAAGTTCTCATTCATAATTCTATGCGACTGGAAGCACGGCGACGCTGTAAGTTTTAGGAGGTCATTTTCTGATGACACTAATTTCACGTCAACTCTCTTCCTTAGATTCTCCATGGTCTTTCCATAGATTGAGTTGTTCATTAATTTGAAGAAGTTCTTTTCAAAAGTATTACGTGCAACTGACCGTTTCTTCGTATTGAAGTCGATATAGTTCTTAAGCCAGGGGGACTGTTTGAATGAGACGGCTCTATGGACCTTCGTAAGTTTTATTCCGAGTTCCGTGTAGAGTTTCAGATTACGGGCGTGTAAGACGTAGTTTTTTCTGGGACCTAGGGAGTTCACCAGTTTTCTTACTCCTCCAATTGCCAGCTGGAATTTATCAGCAATATCCTTCGCGTAGTCTGACAACATTGAGGCACCAATCTCCTTGCTCTCCGGTGCTAGCGGATAACCGTTGTGTAGATTATGAAGTTCCTTTGGGTATTCCATGTCAACCTCTAAAACCATACCCCTTCCGTTGTCTCCAAGGTAATCATCTAAGTTTGCCGCATCGAAATCCTCAATCCACTCAAACTCACCGTTAGGCAGCGGCTGCGACATCGCCCAGCCATATAAATTGTTGGCATCGAGGTACATAAGGAACTTGTTTTCAAGATCTTCGTCGTACGTTTCCATGTACTTATTATTTGCTGTAGAGTGTCTGTGAGCAATGTGACTTATACCACCTCTCATTCCCTTCTCAAAGAACTGGAACATGTCCATATCACTTACCAATTCTATCTCCTCACCTGACTGTTTCAGGAAGGCGTCCCAACTTAGACTAGGTGCTGATATGTAGTGTGCAGGGTCAAGCTTGTAATTTTCCAAGCAAGTTCTCCTGAAGTTTTCGAATACATCTGCTAGAAGAAGAACGTCAGTTTCCAGGTAGAGATCGTGGTAGTCTCTCATGGTTTTCATCTTAAAGTGATCCCATACTTTTAGCGCTCTTTGGTAATCTTCTTCTTTCACCTCCGACTCATATAGAGATGAGTAGAATTTGTCATCCAAATATTCGTATGGAAATATACCTTTTTGTGTCACAAGTTTGAAGTCCTCACCAGTCCACCTCTTACCAACTATCCTGAAGTCTTCAGGTGAAAGGTTACTCACAAGTGCTTCCGAAGAAGAAGCCATGAACTGTATTGAGTCAATGAACACAAGACTTTTACCTAGTGAGAAGGAAATATATTTTTCCATATTATTTGGGACAACGTTGATGTTCATCTTGAACTTTCCAATCTCCTGCATTATCAGATGGCTATCGTAACCTCTTAGGTTGTGAAAACCACCGGAACTTTCCATGTGATTCTATACTTCAGATTACACATATTATGGGCAGCTCCACGATACATTCCAGTTACATGATCGTGATCTCTCACTCTATCATCACCTAAGTCATTACCACATATGGAGCAGTTTCTTGTCATCCAGAACTCAGCTTCTTGCTCTGGTGTAATTACCATCTTTTTCTTGAATATTTTGTTTACCATCTCCCGGCACCTAATAGACTCCTTCAATACTGTCTTCAGAAAGACATTCGTGGCGTCCTCACCAACGTAACTTATGTATTCACCAGAGTACTGATCATCATAATGACACACTGTTTTCAACCCAAAACTACAGGCTTTGTGTGTTTGGTAAAGGTCTGTAGTACTCTTTTCCTCAGAGCTTTCAGGATCAACTTTTCTCTCTTCGGGAACCAGTATGGACTCAAAGTCGGCGTATATCACAAATGGTGCAGGCATTGAGTTCCTGTGATTTTTGAACTTTATTTTCGTACCCTTACTCGGAAGCTTTGTGGCCTGAGTTCCATTTACCTCGAGGCATGTCTCCTTATGTTTCTTCAGCAGCTCCTCGCTCTTACAGCTGTGGAGGCAATACAGACAGAAGTGCTTCTTATGTTCGTATCAACTTACACTATACAGCATTCTATTAATGAACTTTATTAGGACATAGTGGTTGTTTCCATTACCGTCACCTAAGAGTAGCAGCTCCATATGCTCGTCGTATTTTGTCTTAGAGTTTCTTATTGGGTAGAACTGCTTTTTACCCTTATAGCCGAACACTGATATGCTTATACAGTTTCTTCTCTCGATTTTGTCAATATCGCTTATTTTCACAGGGAAGTCTATTCCCTCATAGTCTAGGTTTTCCGAGAACTTAACATCCTGTCGTGTTATAGTAGTTGCTCTCCTGACCTTTGGTCTCACGTGTCTCACATGACTCCACATGAAACATTTGTTATCTTCATTTTTCATATTAATGAGACCACATTTTGGATTACTAATGTCTGCGGGTAATTTCATATATGAACTACCCTTTAGAGGTTTATACATTGCAATGTTAACGTAGTGGCTTTCAATATTTAGTATAATCCAATTTGAACCTAGGTTTTGGAATGTTTCAATTCTGGATAGGATTGTCAGCTGGTTTTGTGCCGCAGTGCTTTCGATATCCTCAAAGTTGGTCGCAGTTCCAGTTTTCGACTTGAAGTATATTGAATCCTTCTTTGTTTTATCATTACCGATTTCCTTCGACATTCTCACCTTGATTGTTTCTGTATATTTTAGACCACCCATTCTCTTCAACTCGTTCACTAGTATTCCCCTCACCACCTGCCTACTTGCTGTCATCTGGTCCAGTGGGTCCATATAGTTTGGAGTTATTGAGTAGGTCACAGCTGCTCCATTTGCGGCAGTTTCTATTTTCCTGTAGGATGGCTTATCAAGGTATGTTCCAAATGGATCGATTTCATGTTCCTCAGGTGTAACCACCACAGGCTGCTCCGCAACTTCCCTAGTCACCCTTGCAGGCTTTCGTAACTTTGGAGGAGGCACTGGTTTTTTGGTCCTGGGTTTGGGAACGGGTCTTTCCTTGGGAATTTTAGTTCTGGGTTTAGGAACGGGTTTTTCCTTAGGAAGAACGGTTCTAGGCTTGGGAACAGGTTTCCATGGAGTCACACCTTTTGGCACCTCAGGAGCTTTCCTTGTAGGTTTTTTGCTGAGATCCACTGTCACCGTGAACTTATTTGGTCCCACCTGTGTTATGACACTATCCGCAGGAACTGAGAGTTTTATCCGACCCTGGCTTATGAACCTTTCTGCGACGGTCTGTCTTCTAACCTTAGGTGGCCTACCTCTCCTCTTGGGAGCTGTAACTTCTTGGGTTTCCGCCACCTTAGCCTTTGGTGGCCTACCTCTCCTCTTAGGAACCTTAACTTCTTTGGTCTTTGGTGGTCTACCCCTTCTTTTGGGGGTTACTTCACCATCAACCTTGACCTTTGGTGGTCTACCTCTAGGACGCTTGGGATTTCTAAGGTTTTCGAGCCTCTTCATCTCCGCGTTTACCTGAGGATCGTCCGTTCTCCATCTACCTCCCATTGTTGGTGGTAGACCTTCAACTCCTCTACTTAGTAAGCTCTGATAGGCTTCCTCGACTAGTAGGGCCTTTGCATTCTGCCTCTCGGAATATTTTCATGTTGGCATTATTCCTCTCTTACCCTTGTAGTTTAGTGGAAGTCTTCTTGGTCTCTTGGGATCCGTAGCTCTATCACCTTCATCAATGAATAGTTTCTCTTCCGTGTGTACGTTCTCTCCCTTATCCTTAGGTGCAACACGGTAGAACTTATCCTCCAAGATTTTCTCCACTTCCTCCTCAAGATTTCCTTCATAGTCGCTGCCATCGATTATCTCACTAAGTGCCATAAGTTGTTCAACGGTCATGTCGTTCATGTCAAAGTTGTTCGCCATTTTTCACTCTTTCTCTATATACTATAGGTAAAAAAAAATAGCCCCAATTAAGGGGCTATTTAATTCATTAATTTATTTAACATTTAATTTAATAATTTAATATTTTATGTAATTTAATAATTTTATATTTTGTTTAATTTTATAATTTTATATTTTATTTAATTTATAATTTATTCTTTAATTTCCAGTTATTATAATATTTACAATTTATAGGTTTCCATCCCAACTCGGGGAAGACCTTACCATATAACCTATTCTCAAGGATGTCCACAATTCTTTTGGTCTTAATGTCCTCAGGAGGGTTTCTTAATGTGATGTTGTTCATGCTGGCTATCCTCAGTAGGTAAAACTTATATCTAACTATGTTGCGCCCCCGTTGCAGTCTAAGTCTTTGTATACATCTTACGATGCTTCTAAACTGCTCCCGTATGGTATCCCTATCCCCTGAAGCAACATGCTCTAATAGGTGTCTCCCGAACCAACGGACTCTGTTATGACAAGACTTCTTTTTCAGGTAGTCGTCCTTATTGTGGTTGTAACTAACATAGTATGTAAAGCCATTCCTGTCACTTGTACCACATTGTGTGCATACATCTGCTCCATCTATTATTACAATAGACTTACTACCACATTCAACACATTCCGGTTCGTATGTATGTGCAACCTTCATTTTACCTCTCGCGTATTTCATTACTGCGGCCTCCAGCTCCTCAATGTTTTTTGCTCTCCTACCGACTCTTTCCATTTCATCAGGTGTTACCAGTGTCAGCCAGTCCATTCCCTATACTATATGTGTTAAAATATTCTGCTTGTTTATGTTGTCTGTTTTTACGTCTCCTTATTATTCTCAGTTCTACATATTTTTTAACCGCGGCCTCCAACTCCTCTATAGTGTCTACCCTTTTACCAAGGGCTATTACCTCGTCAACGTCTACCATTGCAAGCCAGTCCATTTCTCTACAATATATATGTAAAAATTTATTGCCGTATTAAATTAATAAATAAGCTGCCCCTCCAACCACCACACCCATAATTAAACCAAATATTGCCATATATTCTTCCATCTCTGAGCTAGGTTTGTAGTGGTTACTTAGTTGCGGCTTTCTTGGCATAGCTGTACGTGTTAGCTCGTTGATTCTCCTGATGAGTTCAAATGCCTTATTTGTTGAATTAATATCCCTACTTGCCTCACTTAGTTCGGCCTTAAGTTGCGCAATTTTGTTTCTTCTGTTGGTTACTTCTTCAAGGTACTTCTCTCTTTCAGCTGTTAGGCTCTCCATTGCAATATTGTGTCTGTGGGCTTCCTCAGCGTATCCGTTCTTGTCAAACATTTTAAATAGATATCCTGCTCCAGCAAATGCGAATGCGTTAAATAATCCTCCTGCTACTGCTTCCGCCATTGTATAGTTTTACCTAGGTTTTGAATGGATCATCTGGTATGTACTTCTTTTCTTTCAGGTAAGAGACCAGCAGAGATGAAAGGCTAACTGAGACAGCCAGCTTTACCATTCCTTTTACATTCTCCGGGGTTCCTAACGGTTCTTTCAATAGTTTTTTTGATGCCATTGATATACCGACTGCTCCTGCTGTAAGTAACACTGCGTTGTACACTTCCGCGGTCATCTTTGATTCTTTACTCATCTTGCTATAATATATATTATGTTTAACGTATCATTCAAGTGAATCTAACTTGGGCGCATCAGGTTTCCTGGTTACTTCTACAGTCTCAGGGATGTACTTAGGTTCTGGTTTCTTTGTTTCCCTCTGATGCTGATTAAATGCTAGGGCAAGGGATGTCAATGCGATGGCCACTCCTACATATGTGATTATGTTGTTGTTGGATGACTCCTTAGGTTCTGTAAGTTTCTTTTTCCTCTCCCTTGCAGCTTTACTTAGGATCGCTAGCCTTTTTCCGGCCTCTACCCTCTTAGGGTCCTTCTTCTTTTCACTTGTAATGGGAACTTCCTTCGTAGTAGGTTCGTCGGCCATTCTATATAGGTACCATATGTTTAACTATGTAGATGTCTATGTAGATGTCTATGTAGATGTCTATGTAGATGTCTATGTAGATGTCTATGTAGATGTCTATGTAGATGTCTATGTAGATGTCTACATAGTTAAACATATGGTACCGACTACGTCAGTAGTCGCTGCTAGCGCAGCTAGTACTTATCTGAACTGAACCTTAGCCTGTAAGTCTTCGCATCACTAGCGGTAATTTTCACTGCAACTTTCCTCACAGTTTTCTTAAGTGAAAAGTACTCGTTAATTCTAATACAAGTTTTTATTAAGTCGTCGGATATCATTACCATATACCCTATTTTCATAAGCTTACGAAGCCATACTACCTGCTTCTCGTTTGCAGTCCCAGTGCCCTTAGGAGACTTGAATTCAATGGCAAATCCTTTGTACTTCCCCATAGGATTCTCTATAATAAGATCTGGCTGGCCACCCTTGTATCCCTTCTTCCAGGCGTCACATCTCTTTGACACAGTATCCTGGTACTCACCTAGACCAGGTATTATTACAGCCTCTGGGTAGTTATCTCTAATGTAACTCACAACTGTATGATGAAGGTCCGTTTCATTTATAAGGATTATTTGGTTATATCCGAGTGACCTTCTATCTGGTAATTTGTACGAGCCCGTCTTGCGGATAGATGGAAGGACTTCCCTAAATACCCAGTCCTGGAAGTCCTCTGCTATTGGAAGTCTTGAGCTACATATTAGCTGGTACAAACCAGGTTCGTAAAGTAAGATTGTCTGTGGGTGACATTTATGTAAGAGGGGCGAATCGCCCCTCTTGCTTAACTCATATACACTCACCTTATTTTGTTTCCTAACTAATTTCTGGACTGCCTTTTTTGGGTCAGCGTACCCTAGAGATTCTGCCACATCTTTTGCATAAAACAGTACATCCTCACCACTCTCTACGGCTCTCACACTAACATTCAACTTCTGGTTCCTGAATAGTTTTTCCATCTTTCTCTATATTATATATGTAAAAGTTTTTATGGCTATTTTATATACCATTTAAATCTAATTTATGAAGCAGCATTCCCTCTACCCACCCAGCTGCTCCACTAATGTCTGCTAATCCCACTACAAAAAATTATTTTGCCTAATGCGTTTCATTTAGATTCTTATATATCTTTACAACTGTTTTAATTGTGTCAGTTTTAAAAGCTTCGAATTCGTACCTTAGTGGACCTACTACTTTATTCTTAAGGGAATTATAATCACTCTTTAGTGAGTCCAAGGTTGCCTGAATTTTATCTAGCTGTTCCCTATTCCTATCAGTTTTCTCAATCAATTCATCAATTATTGATTCAAATTCCGTTCCATCCCAGGCGTTTCCCCAGTCGTAGGGTTCTCCGAGTTGTGGCATTCTTCTTCACTATGTAATAGGATATGTTTAGCTTCCTCAGATATTTCCTCCTTCTTTTTCCACTTATGAGCAACAATGTGCTTAGCTGTTGTACAACCACCTGATATTAAACCTATGAATGGAATGTTTGGGGAAATCGTTCTTGTTAGATATGATACGTCATCCTTTAAAAGCTTATCACTAAGTAGTTCCTCTGATAGCTTATCTGATGATTCCACTGCACCGAAACTTCCTAATACAGAAGCAAACTTTGAGATAATAAGAGTTGATAAGAAGTCACTTGCGAATGACATCCTTTGACTTTCATACTCATGATATAGTCTATCCACAACATCCTTGTTGGACTTTCTTATAAAACTTGCGGACTTCTCTATTGCACCATCCCTGGATAGCTCTATAAGCTTGTCTCTTTTACTTTCAGTTTGCGACTTATCTGCGGTTTCTCTTGCGGTAGACTTAGCTTTCTTTTGCGGTGCCTTTGCAGCCTCTTCTACTTCCCTCACAGCTGCAGATATTTCTTCATCAGATTCAGATTTCATCTTTTATATTCGACGTGATGTTTTGTTTGATAGTGTATGTGTAAGGGTGTATAAGTAGTATATCCAGTGCGGTGAACTTCTCATCTTTTAGTACCTGTGTTATCTCTGTAATTGTCTCCTGAGGAACACCACTTAGGTAATCATCTGTTATGACCTTCATATCCCTGCGACTAGGGTTGTAGAATGTAACTAACCTGGAAATGTTCTCCCTGAATGGTTTCGCTACTGATGACAGTTGCTGAGTAATTACAATAACAGATAAGTTGTAATGTCTTGCGGAGAAAGCTAGGCGCACCAGTTCTCAACTCTATAATGAGAGTTTGAGTTCCACGAAATATGGTGGACACTGCCTTCAGAACTAGATTGATCATTTCTTGTGAACATGGAATTTGTATGACTCCGTGATCACTAATATGAGCCCAATTAATGTAAGTCATATTCCATTCTATTGTTGGACATATAATAACAATGTAATCAAAAACTTTATTGTATTCCGTTTCTAACATATTTAGTAAGAACTGAGTTTTACCACTTCCTGTCATTCCTACTATAAGCATGTTGAATGGTGGTTCAAGTTGCATCTCTATGCTTTACCGTTAGTACTAGCTGCACTAGCAGCGACTACGCAGGCTACGCCTAGTATTGAATACTTGATAAATCTCTATTGGCAAAGTTAAGGAGGGCATCTGATACAATAAAAATATTGCATTGAACGTCAGCTGTTGTGGCTCTCTTTTTGATTTCCATGAGTACGCCTGACTGTGTGTTAACAATTCTCCTTCCTCCACCAGTGGTATCATCCTGTGTTGACCTAAGATCAATTACTAGAGCGAAACCATTGCTGAAGAACTTACTGATGGACATAAATTCATCTGCCATGGATTTCTCGCACATAGGGCAGAAGAATCTTTTTGCCTCTTCGAAGAACCTGTTTTTGGGAAGTCCCTGGGAGAAAACTGCATTAGGCACACCTTCAATGGTAAGGTTCACTTTATCAATGTTTGGGTAAATATATTCTTCAGAATCAGTCCTCACTCTATTGGTAAATAGAAGGACAATTGCTGACATGCTCTTTCTGGGTATATTTATGTTTTCATTGACAATGGTAAGATCCTTGTCCCAATTACTTGTGCGCATTAGTGTGACGTGTTTGTAGGACAGTGAGCGACCTGTTGAATACATCCGTGTGACTTCACTCGCAAGGGTGTCATTCTCAATGGTCTCGTATTCTAGCTCAAGATTATCAAGTTTATAATTACCCTTAGCTTCACCTCCTTGGGCAGTCATAATCTCATCTGATTGCGGGAGTGTGAGGATGTACATAGGATTGTTGTTCATGTAAAATGGAGTGTATAGACCATGGTCTGCAATTATTTTATCAATTGGTTTTCTCAACTTAGAACCATACACACTGTGGATAAGTCCATCTGCTACTTTATTAGCGTCACCAACCTTAGTGCCTGAGTCATCACCTGATATTAACTTCCTGAGATTTTCACTTACCAGACCCTGTTCGGTCATCTTATTTCTGTCACCTTCTGTTAGCCATAGATCTTTGTATATTTCGTACAAACTCTCTCCCGAACAGTCATAAGCTGTTTCACCTGCTACTTTAATCTGAAGACGTTTAGCTATTAACTTAGACAGGTTATTATTAAATCGACTCTTTGTATTGGAATTTTTGAAGTCAAATAATAGTGCAAGTGATCCTGGAACTAGACAAGAGTCAGGCTTTAGTTTAGGTATGTTGATGTACAGCTCTTCACCTGGGCTAATAGTTGTAGGATTGAAAGTTACAACGTTTAGGGTCCTAGGTCCTTTTATAGATGTCATGTGGCTCCTCCTGAAGCCAGGTTGGAGTTCTCTTTCTGTGGTATTCATACTTGTATACAATATGTAATGTTTAGCTGTTAATGTAAAGTAAAATTATTCCGATACCTATAGCTACCACCCATAAGTTTGATGATATGAATTTAATCAGTTTGCTTACTGTGTCAGAAAGTGGTGACGGTGAAGGACCTCCGCCTCCGTGCGTGGAATCTGCTGCCATTGAGGATAGTTTTCTAGTCGGTATGATAATAGCTGTAAGGAGAGCAGCAACTGACATTATGATACCTGCAAGCACAAATCCAAAGTTATCTTTAACCCATGATTTGAATCTTTCATACCTCGTAAGATCTTCCCTAACATTTCTCAACATGATTTCTGTACTATCACCGCTAAAAATAGGTTGATCATCTTTTGGGATACTATCCTCTGCGACCTGGAATAGGAGGTTCTCAAAGTTGAAAGTATCCTTTAGCCATTCAGTGTCTACCCCAGGTAAAGGCTCCCCGGTCTTCTTATCTCTGCTGGGCTCCTTGGGTTCCTTGTCTCTGTAGGGCTTTTCTATCTTAGGTTTCTTGGGTTCTTCCTCAACCTGAGGTTTCTTTGGGAAGAACTTAGGTTCTTCCTTAGGTTTAGACTTTTCTTTTTCCCATTCTTCTAGTTTTTTTCTCCAGTACTCTGTTTTTTCCTTATCACCCTTTACAGTTTCCTGTAGTCTTTTAATCTCAGCTTCTCTACGCTCGACCTCAGCTTTTTCTTGACGTTCGGCAGCTTCTTCTGCAAGCCTTTTACGTTCTAACTCAGCAGCCTTCCTGCATTCTTCTTCCTCCTTCTTTCTAGCTTCTTCTTGCCTACGTTCTTCTTCCTCTGCTTCTAACTCTTCCTCGGGCTCATTAGGATCGAAACCTAGGTTTTCTATAATACCCTTCAACCTGTCTATTTTTCCCGAGTAGTCATTCCTTCTAACTTCAGCCTTAGCTATTCTCCTAAGTACAACTATTGTTTTTACCTCTTCCTTGAGAGTGCCGTGGGTCGCGTTTAGATAGGCCTCGGTTTCTGAATTCTTCCAGGTCTTCATTCTTCTTAGCTGACTTACGTACTCGATTTCTCTTCTAATATCTTCTTTCTCGTCCAGTTCCCCAGGTCCTGTTACCTTCCTTCGGAGAATGTCTATTTCAGAGTTGATCCTCCAAAGAAACAGCACCAAGACACTACACCTGTTCACCACCTTGATACTATTCACGGAACTAAAAAAGTTCCAGGAGGTTCTACGGGTACTAAGCCCCTGGGAGGTTCTACAGGTGCTAAGACTCAAGTTGTTCCTATCACGGGGAATAGTATGGTTAGTACTAATGAGTCTTCAGGAGTCAGTGCTATTGCTGGAGTTGGAATTGGTGCTATAGTTGTATTCATTCTAATGAAAGTTTCCCTGTAAACATTATGTATCCTATAAAATGGCTCTCTATAGAGGATACAATAAAGGAGTAAATAAAGTTGACCCATTAAGTGGTAGTGTGTTTGATAAGGATGGATTTACCATGAAGGGTGACATTGAGATGGATGGTAATGAGGTGAAAGGTTTGGGTGCACCTACAGATGATACTTCTGCGACCACAAGAAAGTGGGTGGATGATGAGATCATTAAACGGGCTGCTCTTACAATTCAACCAGCAGGGTTTACAATGACTGGGGATATTAACATGGGAGGTAATAAGATAACTAATCTTGATAATCCTACTAATCCAGGTGATGCTGCTAGTAAGAGTTGGGTTGAAGGTAGTCGTGCTAGTTTACCTGGGCTTGTTCTTACTAGTGATCTCAATATGTCAACAAATGAGATAAAGGCTCTAGGCGATCCTACAACTGGAAAGTCTGCTGTTAGTAAGGACTGGGTAGTTGGAATGCTAAATAGACCTGTATCAGGACTTAATATTGCTGGTGATATTGATATGAAAGACCATGAGATTAAGAATCTTAAGGATCCCTCTGAGGACCAGTCTGCTGTCACAAGAAAGTGGGCTGCTGACAATAACTTTGTTAAAAAAGGTGGAATAATGCAAGGAGATGTGTCCATGGGAGGTTGGAGATTGTTTGATCTTATTAACCCTAAACTTGATAGCGAGGCTGTACCAAAAAAGTGGGTTGAAGATAAGATGTCTACAATTCCTAGCACCTCTGGTTTCACAATGTCAGGTGATCTTCAAATGGGTGGACATGAAATTAAAAATGTTGGTGATCCTAGTTCGAGTACATCTGCTGTTAGTAAAAGGTGGGTTACATCAGGATTCACTCTAAATGGTGATCTAACCGTTGCAAATGGTAATTCAATCTATACGATCAACAACCTTGGTGCAAAAATAGCTGTTCCCAATATTCAAACTGTGGTTAACCAAATTTCACGCTTTGCCTTGAAATTGGACGGTTCAAATGAAATGACCGGTGTTCTCAAGATGGGTGGAAATGAAATTGAAAATATTGGGGCTCCTAGTGCTGATACATCTGCTGTTAACAAAAAGTGGGTAGAAGATAAGATTAGCGGTGGTAGAAGAAAGCGTGAGACCTACAGCGGACTTACACTATCCGATGACCTTGATATGGGAAACAATGAAATTATAAAGTTAGGTGCTCCTACAACTGATAATTCTGCCGTGTCTAAGAAATGGGTTGTGGATCATGTCAGTGGGAGTTCTGTAAGTAGTAGCGGCTTTACTATGAGTGGTAATATTGACATGGCTGGTAATACTATTACAGGACTAAATAACGGCTCGTCCGGTGATTCTAGTGCTGTTTCTTATGGAACTATGAGCAATTGGTGTAAACAGTTCCTTAAACGTGATGGTGGTGTTTTATCAGGTAACCTTGATGTTAACGATTATGAGTTAATAAGAGTTGGTGACCCTACAACTGACGGTTCAGCTGTTAATAAAAGGTGGGCAACTAATGAGTTCATGAGTAGTAGAGGTGGACTGGTAAAAGGTGATTTGGACATGGGAGATTCAAGTGGTATTCTTGATCTAAAGGATCCGGTAAATGACAAGGATGCAGTTAACAAGCAATGGGTAGAAAAGAATTTCTTGAAGCCTTCCACTGGACTTGTACAAGCAGTGGCTGATAAAAGATATGTAAGAATACGGCGACATATACATGCAGAATGGATTTGGGGTTACAGGGGAGTATCAACCGCTGCAGCAAGGTACTATGCTTACTGTCACGATCAGATTCCACCTTCATGGAGAACAGATCCTATTAATAATATGACAGACCTCAACCTTGAGTCAATCACTATTAAATCAGACTACCCACGTTTTTCAACTATTCAAAATATACCACTAGCCCTGATCCTATGGGCTACTGTTTGGGAAAAACAATCTAATGGAAATTTTACAAAAGTTAAAAAGGAAATCAATCTTGCCGCGGTCGACTTAAGAAGACTGTCATACACCTGGTTTAATGGGACTTACACAACTACAGGTGGAAGTACAGCCTGCTACGTTTTCAAGGGTAATAGTATGTTCTATTTAGGAGCCCAGGCTGAGTTGGTAGATAACACGCTGGCTTGGTGTATTATAGTTAAACCTGAACACTCAATTCCCACTGGATCGAGTATGGATATGTCCTTTTGCTGGTCACTTCGATATTCAGGGTCAGGTAGTTAACATGTGATTTATTATAAGGTAAGAATGTCAGAGTGGAGGTCATGCTTCTCCTGCTTAGGTAAGATTTGTGGCTGCCGTAAAAAGTCAAATAGGGGTAGGGGAGTTGGTGATATAAATTTCTCTGTATCAAACAATATTAACGTTGGAGTAAATACTCAGGATAAAAAGGCTACTTCAAATGTTGTGTTAGAGCCGGAAGGTTACGACCCCTTTAAAATGGTTAAGCTTAAAATGTTGAATACTAAAGAAACTATTAAATAAGACTTAAAATAATACTGAAAAATAATATAATAAATACACGTTAAAATACCACAATAAATATATGGTCTAGAAACTTGAGCCCGCGTTTTTGGGGGAAAATATGGAAACCGCTGACCGGAAGTGGGATGAGATCGCGGGCTGAAAAAGTGGTCTAGAACCGCTACTTCCTATACTACTTCCGTTCCAATAACGAATCCCATTCATCAGATTCCTTCTCTATCACTTGGAATACTGATTCTTTCAAGGGTTTACTCTCTATGTTAACTTCTTTGCTGCAGTTGAGATTTGGTTGTACCGGTTGTTTCTCTTCATCTAGCAGCCAATCTGGACCATGAAACCATCCATTACTTTCCATACGATTAATGCTTGCGCCTCGACTTCCCAAATCTGCTGCGTTCTCTTTCGATGGGCAATATTTCCACTTGATATTGAGTTCACTTGTTATGGACGCTATTTTTCTCACTCGGTTTGCTCAAACGTTTTCCATGATCTAGCTGGATTTAAGATCCAAAAGAGTGCCACTGTGCTATCCATCCATATGGTTATTGAGGCTATTGGTAGTTGTTTCAACGCTTTACACACGTTCGTTGCCATATTCGCAGCCATTTGACCACCGATTAGCTCTAATCTCGGGATTGACGTGTTTCTCTTTGAAATTCGCGCCTTGGCTGTCAACAACCCTTTCACCGTCCCAGTTGAATGTTCCACAACTGCTATTGTTGCACACGAACACGCAAGGTTGCTTGCGTCAGCGAAGATGTGAAGATGAACCTGTTTAACCTATCGTATACCCTTGGTAATATACTCTGGGAATTTTAACAGTTCGTAACTGTCTTGTTCACTTTAACCAGCCTTGTTCTAAGGGCTTTGAAATCTCCGCGTCCCAACTCTTTGTCTCATCGCAGGCTTCACGATAAATTCTTTTACCTTCTGCCATTGTGGGTGATACTATGCCTAAAGGGTCATAAACTTTTCCGAAGTGACTCACAATAGACGTCTTCGTAACTTTTGCTCCTTCAGGATATTCTGGTGCTGAAATGTACAACTCGTCTTCTTTCTTGTCCCATGCAAGTCCACGAATTTTTGAAGGATTTGGCATGTCTTCACTTTCTAACGATTCTACGTTGGATTCCCACTTGTGAAGTGGTAATTTAGCACCTTCTAAGATTTCTGTAGCCTCGACTTTGAACTTTTCTAATTCTGATACATCGCTTCCGATTTGCATTATATTGTCAACGTAGGTGTTATCTTTCAAAGTCTGTACCGTGTCTTCCACTTCCAAAGGCTGTAGATCCAAATGAGGCTGCATGGTCGCGCCAAGCATGAATGGACTTGATTCGACTTCAAAAGGTATTCTAGTGAACCGAAAATGTTTTTCAATACCATTGACATTATATATAAATCTGAAAGCATCGCGGTCTTCTTCTTTTAACCCAACTTGTAGAAAAGCCTTTTGAATATCTGCGAGAATCAATTGTGGGGACATTCTTGCTCGTATCAAAATGTCCCAAAGCATTGGTTGCAGCGGGGGGCCCGTAAACATACATTCATTCACGCTGTTGGCGTTAGGATTTGGTTTTGCACTGGCGTCAAAGACCATCCTTACTTTTGTGCTTGTTGCCTACTCTCTGACGACAGGTTTGTGGGGCATATAATATACTCGTTCACCATTCGGTTTCTCTGGTGCAACTTCAATGATACCAGACTCTAACTGCTTCTCGATAATTTCATCATAATCATTCTTTAATTTCATCATAATCATTCTCGCTCGATCCTTTTGCATACGGTAGCTAATCGCTTTCGACTTGGTTCTAGATTGTTATTTGGTAAAGACTGTCCTGGAATCCATGGTACTTTGACTTAATATCTACCGTCATCAGCCCGAGTAATGTTCTCTTGAAACTCATGATAGACATCCAGTTGGTCGTTCTCCCCTCTATCTTCAACTCCAAGTACACCCAGTGTATTGCTCGTACTCATTTGATTCTCTTGTGAACATACATACATTGTTCGAAGTATGTCCGCCATGAACAATCCAACCAAACGAAGTACCTTCAACCATAGGATCGCCATCTTTCCCTTTGTAGATTTCTTCTGTCTTAATCTTGCAGAAGGTGCTGTCACCTAAGATCATGTGTATTGGGTATTCACCGTCTGTTGTCATGTAAAACTCTTATCCTTTGTGTGTTCATAATTCCATTTAAGTTTGTTCATGTACGGTCTTTTCACTGTTGTGAAATCTTCCATTGTCGACCCGGCTAGTTCTATATCTTTACTACTTCATCAATATGTGCATTCACAACCAACTTTGTTTGACCGTACTCCTTTTTGAGTCGTTCCCAAGCTTTTTATATCCAATCGAGCTCGGTTTGAGATCTTATCCCTGACTTTTCCACTCACCATTTGAAGTAAATAGCCAAACTTTCCGTCGTCACTAATTGGCTTAGAATCGACTTGTGTAATAAACATGTTCTCAAACCTTACCCAGTCTGCTGTTGTTCCATTAAATTGTGTTATTTTCAATTTAGGAAGTTTAGCTAGAGTTGATCTTGCAGCTTTTTCCATTTCTAGCTTTTTCTCCGTCATTCTAAAGCTCTGCTTGCAATTTTTCTTCGAGCATCTGCCTCTCTTGGTCTCGAATTACTTCCCTGTTATGCTCTTCTTCGATACGTTTCCGTCTCGTCGCTTATTTTCCTCTTCAGCGGCAACATTTGCTTGTGTTTTAGACAGAAAATCAGACAGTTTGTTCATTTAATTTGCCCATGGCATATATCTATCTCTTACCTCTTCTTCCATTGTCGAATTTCCCGTGATGTACTTTTTCCCAGCTCAACTTTCGTCTCTTGAGCGGTCGAAACAAGGCTATATATTTGCTACAAAATCGCCTTTGTACGCTTGTTTACTGTTTCGATTTCTCTCAGATCTTGCTCTTCGATAAGCTCGTCGGTTTGTTCCAAATAATACTAACTTTTCTAGTTCCTTGTTGATTTTATTCTCAATTTGTTGTGCTTCCGAGTCGCTCATCATTTTAACTCTCGCTTATAATTATAGTCGTAAATATAGTTGTAAATTTGTTGATATTCCCCGTAAAATATCACTTGTTTCCCTTGTTTATATCCTGGTCACGGCACCACTATATACCAAAGTTGTTCTCGATACACAAATCCTCACTCGTTTTAATGTTAAATATTTATTATATACAGTACGCAAAACAATACGAAAACTACGAAATCACTTGTCTCAAAACCTTGTAAACTTGTCTCTCCCTGTCTCTTGTAATAACAAACTAATTATACCATATATGGTTATGTTCCGAGTATTTCTAAATATAGCTATTACCGATTGTAGTTAATACTGTTCTGAGTTCATCACAGGGGAAAGATCATTTAGATCATCTAGATCTAGCCGATACCATGCAGGAAAAATTTTCGACCAGAGGAGACTTTGCGCCAGATGCAGGACATAATCAGAATGGTTGCAATGCAACCAAATCTGTGGAGAGGGAAAACTTGGTAACGTTTGATGACTCTAATAGCTCTGTAGAACCAGGGGAAGGGAATGACTCTTATCGCTATATAGAACCAGGGGAAGGTAAGGTCTCTAATAGCACTATAGAACCAGGGGAAGGTAATGCTTCTAATAGTACTATAGAAATAGGGGAAGAGAATGACGCTAATAGCACAATTGAACCAGGGGAAGGGTCAGCTTCAGAAAACTCGTGCTCAATGTCCTCAATGCCAGATGTGGATGTTTCTAAAATAAAGGGTTTAAAAATTGCCAACTTAAATGTAAATAGTCTCTTAAAGCGTGTTGATGAAATTCGTATTATGTTGATTAACCACCCTTTTGATATACTGGCTATTAATGAAACCAAGCTTGACTACCATTTCAGACTCAGAAATATACATAAATGAATATACATTATCAGGGAGGATCGTAATAGAAATGGGGGTGGAATCGCCTTTTTTATCAAAAATACTTTATCTTATTCTGAAAGAAACGATTTAATTCCAGACTCAGGAAACCTTGAAATTATTTGCATTAAAATTAGTAAAAGATTTTGTGCCTCCTTCATTGTAAGTAGCTGGTAGCGGCCACCTAACTCGGAACTTCAACTATTTGATAATTTCGAACTTTTTTGTTAAAATGTGACTTAGAAAATAAGGAACTGATTCTTGTTGGAGATATGAATTGTGATTTCAGGAAAATGCCATCTGACCCACACTCTCCTAGGTTGCAATTTTTGTGTTCTATGTATCAGCTTTCACAATTAATTGATGAACCAACGAGGGTTACTGAAAATTCGGCTACATTAATTGACCTTATTTTGACCAATAGACCAGAAAATATACTGAGGTCTGGAGTTATTCACCTTAGAATTTCAGATCATAGTTTGATTTTTGCCGTGCGGAAATTCAAACTCCAAAATTTAGTCCTACTACTAAAAAAGTCCGTAATTTTAAACATTTTTCAGTTGATGATTTTCGCAGTGACGTACTACAAGTTCCCTGGGATATGATATTTACTCTTTATAATCCTAACGCATGCTGGATACTATGGAAATCGTTTTTCGATGAAATAATAAAAAAACATGCACCACTTTGCAATAAACGAGTTAGATCTAGACAATCTCTCTGGATTACACCAGCCATTAAACAACTAATGCGTAACAGAGATTCTCACAAAATCCCATTCATTGTTTACAAGAAATTTCTTCTTATGATCACATGTCGAAACTATTTCCGATTTTTTGTTAAGTAGAAATTGTTTGTTTCCTTCCTTCAAAATACAAATTAACAAAAAATCGGAAATAGTTTCGACATGTAATCATAAAAATAAATTTCTAGTAAACAATGATAACAATGAAAGTGATAGACTGCGAGCGGTCCCTCCTTTCTGGTTTAGCTTCCCGGGCGTGCGAGGGGAAAGGAGGGACTGCCGACAACACATGAAGAAACGAAATACGCCCACTTTTCGCTCTTGTCAAGCTGGCTCCGCCTTTGCATAAACATTACTTAAGGCCTGTTTTATACGCGTCGCACTATCGTCGAATTTAATTCAGAGAATTTAATTGAACGAATTAAATGCGACGGTAGTGCATCGTATGAAACGAATTAAATTCGCCTGGTGAATTAAATTCGTCCAAGACGTTTTATCCATCATGGTCAGACGGATACAACGTCCGTAGCGCGTTTTCGTTTCATACGACGTCTTATCGTCGTGTCGAATTAAATGCATAAATTATTTTAAAGTCTGTTTCTCTTTTTCTGGTCTCGTGGTTTCTATTTCTGGGTAATCCATGATCGCTAGTCATGAAATGAATTCGTCTGAATTAAATTCGTCATTTGAAACGAAACCATTTTAATGTCGACCAATTGACGAATTTAATGAATTAAATTCGACTGAATTAAATTCGACGTATGAAACAGGCCTTATATCCAATGAAATCTATCCAATATAGAAACCGTTCATTTAAGCCTGTCATGTTTATTATAAAATCAAAATTCAATCTCGAAATTATTTATAGCGTAATTACTACATATCAGATTTGATTGACAGGCGTATCGATTTCGACCAATGAGAACTTTGCGTTGTGTGGGCAACGCGTATTTTGTTTCTTGATGTGTTGTCAGCAGGCTCTGCTTTGTCCTGAGGGACAGCTCGAGGTCTATGAAAGGAATGCATGTATTGTTTGACGTCCACGTTTCCGACCGTAAACTTTTAAGCAATCCACTTGACGAAATGTGTTGGATGAAACAGGCTGTTGTGGCAACCTTTCGAGGTAAAACAACTACATTTGTATTGGGTTATAAAAACCAATAATATAGCCTAGAGTGCTGAATGGATAACCAGGGCATAATAAAGAAAGTAAATAACCAAAATGAGCTCCACCTTTGAATTTATTAAATGAATAAAATGTTAATTAAAACACGTCCGAATTTATTTTTACAACAAATTCGCAACCCATGTTGAACCCCAATACCGACTCTATCATCTAACCAAATCTTAATGTAACCCTAATCTAAACTTGACGACCTTTTCTTTTTAATCTTTCCCACGTATATTTCATTATTGCAAAACTTTTGATCCGTAAGCCCGGATCTTCATCTGTACCATGAGGTAATTTCGCCGTAATGGTTAAGTGTCCTATGCATGGCAAAGTATTGTTATTTATAGTGCATTTTTATAAAAATTATATTCAATAGATGATCTTGATTAATAGTTTTAGAACAACTTTTGTTAGTTCTGTTGAATGCTTACCTGGTAAAATAAATTGAATTAAAA